AAGAGTTCCCATATATACCATGCCATTTGTTAACATTTTACAACACCGTGGTGTACATGTCAAATTAAGAAACTGACATTTATACATTATTATTAACTGAACTCCAGACTTTATTTGGATTTCACCAATTTTTCCACTGATATGCTTTTTCTATTCCAGAATCTAACCCAGAGTGCCATTTTTGTATTTAGTTGTCATTAGTCTGTTATGATTTGCGACTATTTCTCAGACTTTCCTTGTTTTTCCTGAGTGGCACTAGCCAGGTAAACTGGGGAATGTCTCCAGAGTTGGGTATATTTGATGTTTTTCTCATAATAGGATCCCTATGATGTATAGATTTTTGGAAAGAGTACCATAGAGGTCAAGTGCCCTTTTAGTCACATCAGATGAAGGTATATCTCCGTTTTTTAGAACAACTGCTTTGGTTATTAGAGATGGAACTAGAATGGAGATAGTATAATCTATCCAGCATCAGAACACATTATAAGAGACGAGTACAGGAAATCAGGAGGGATGGTGGGAGGCCAGCAATGGAACTCCCTCTTTTCCAGCTAATCCATCTGAATTGAGGGTCAAGAGACAAACATTCTATTCCAGGTTCCTCCACTGACTAGTCTCTAGGGAAGGCAATTAGTGTTTGTTTCTTCATCTGTACGATTTTGAAGTTGATATCTGGGGCTATTTCTAGTGCTGAAATTATGTGATTCTAAAACTCTGGAGTGGATTTTATTCGTTAAATATCGTCCGTAGTTTCGTTTCCTGAAAAAGAATGCGTTGTACTCCCGAGTAAGACCCCACCTAAATGTCTGGGTTTTGGCAAAGGAAGATGGCAGAAAGGCAGCTGTGCCTCATTATTGGGTGCTTCTGATACTTGTATCCTAAGAATGTCAAGCACCTGGCAGAGAGAAAACAAACTATAAAGACTAAGAAGAAAGTTCAGCTCATTCACTCATCTTTGTTCCGGGGACTCAACTGTTCTCTCCATTACGATAAAGTAAGAAGTAAATGATGGAATTTATTTTTGAAATCTCAGAAGGAATATACCTTTTCATACTTTTAAAAATCTGTTAATGTTGCCCCTTTGCGTAACTCTAACCGGGTTTAAATGGAAGGCTGGCTCTCAACGTTGGATATGCTAAATTGCCAATAATTTGTACAGAGCCCGGGATTGCAAAACCACAAAAATTTCACAATAGCGGAAACCTCTAATTAACCAAATAAATGGCAAAGTGGATTGGTTTTAAATATACGGCTAATAATGCTTACTGCCTTGAGATCATAAACTGAGAGATTCTCCATTAAGCTGAGATAGGCTGAGATAGGCTGCAGAAGGTTTTGGAAAAATCTTTTCCACATCTATGTTAAGTCTGACCCAAAACATTCTACTAATATTGGATCAAACTCTCCTCTGATGTAACTTGCCTGTGGGAATTGTATTGGCTGTGAAACTGGCTCCCCTTAGGAACTGGTGTTAAAAAAAAAAAGAAATTATTATTTTTTTTAATCACAATTCTGTGGTTTGTTTTGAATGACTGAAGCCAGGTTCCTAGGCACTGAGACAAGAAAGAATGTCAAACGGGACCTTTAATGTGTATTTATATTTAAACATCCGACCTAACAGAAAACCCTGAAGCTTTATACAATGATTGGAGCCTTGTAAGAACCTAATTAATGTATCTTGGGGTGAATGGTTGGCCTGGCACACGAGCCGTCCCGAGGTACTCGAGAGGGTTCAGGTACCGCCTGGGAAGAATAGATGTGGTTGTAGTGATTCAGTGGCCCATCTGAAAGGGACATGGAAAGGCAGCTTTGTCTGGCGTGCCGCCTTTTCAGACTCACTTGATAATGCTAGTGTCAGTTTCAACTGAAGCGTGGGCCAGATTGCAGATAGCTTGAGCAGCCATGTCAAAGCCGTTAATTGTGAAACTGGCGAAGAGAATGGGCACATTCTTCCGAAGGTGGCTATTCAAATGCAGTCTCTTCCCCCCAGAGCTCCCGTCTCAACTTTTGTTCCTGTTCCACACAAAATGCGTGAGGAACCTTGAGCCTTTCCCTTGGTGCCTCCTCTATCACTGCCTCTGCTGGGACTGCTTTGCCTTGTTACAGTGTGCCCCGTGTATTAAAATGAAATTGTCACTGCTGGGTGGTGCAGCGTAACAGGGTTTGACACGAAGCGCCCGCAGCTACAGAAAACAGACTTTTATTGCGTTTATTCTTTCAGAGACGAGAGTCTCTAAAGGCTCGCTGCCGACATGCACTCAGTTAAATCTGAATGAAGCAAAGTGAACCAACTATGCCTGTCTTCACATTACTAGGAACAGCCCCCATCCGGCTTGATATGACTGTAAAATAGTCTCCAGGAAAGACGATCAGACTTAGAATCCAAGAGGGAAGACTTGAGGCTTTCAATCCAGTGCAAAAATATTTCAGGTGGGTGGAGTGGGGGAGCCACCTGATTTTCTACTTTAGCTTCTGTATTTCCTCAAACACATTATATAGAATCAACAAGAACGTGCGAACACAGACACACACAGACACACACACTCCCCAATCTGGTTTTAGTCTTCATTTAGAATTCCATGTCCTTTTAAGACAAAGAGAAAGGATCTGATTTGTAGGACTCCTGCAAGCAAGCTTCAGATTCTTAACTGCCTTTTATCTAGATGAGTATCCAGAGAGAGATTGAACAAGGAGGGGGCTCTGGGGCATAAGCTTTTCATTCTGTAGCTCTCCTGGAATAAAAATTCCATAAAGTAACATCTGTAGTAATTAAGGGCTTACATTTCCTCTCCCATTCATGTCTCTGATAGGAGGGAAGGTTATTGTCCCTAAGAGACGATAGATAATAGATCCTGTGGGAAGACAGAAAGAACAGAATTAGAATTCTTTTGTTCCTAGAAATGTAAGTTTCTTACTTCAAAAAAAAAAAGTAATAATAATAATAACAACAGGTTGGAAGACTATTGTAAAAGATTCCACAGAAAGAAAAACTCAAAGGAGTTAAGAAAGTTGTACTTTGCTATTCCTCGGTGTTTGGAATGGAGAAAGGTTCATCTTGCGTTTCTTACCCAAATATCTTTTCATTTGCAGGCCCTTGTGATTAAGCAGTGAACGAAATGCTCTTTGTTTTTATTTATATTTATTAAAATTGTATGTTATTAAGCTCAAAGAGGTTTGGTTGTTTTTTTTCTCCCCCACATTTGGACATAAAATCAATTCATTCTTTGCATGTTCTTCAAAATAACACCTATGTGAATCCATTGAGCCATCTGATAAATGAATAATAACCTGTTGGGTTCCTACACTTTCTTGTCATAGCAGGACAGTGACGTAATTAGTGGAACCCAGTGCAAGTTAAAAATACAGGACCCCTTGTTAGAAAATCATGAAGAATTTCACGATGGTGCCAACAGATTTTAAGCCACCAGACTTATTCTAAATCTGTGGCTCCCTTGTTCTGCACTGGTCTCAGTTTTACTGGGTAGGTAGAGATTTGCCATTTATCTGTATCTCTATACAAAAAAATGTGCCTCCATCCCATGCCTCATAGAAATGTACATCAGAGAAGATAGTTTTTTTTTTTTAATCGAGTCAGAAAATAATGATGCCCCGCCCCCCTTGGAACATGCTCCTGATACCATCTTGAATTTCTTAACCTGATAATTCAGGTGGCCTGATCTGCATCTCTCAGCTTACCTTCAAGAGTACCTCCAAACCCTGTAAACCTTCCACACAAGCACAGTATTCTGCTCTCCTCACCCACCTCTCAAAGGACACAGGGTCAGGTCAGTCCCCTGCCCTAATGACTTCTCTAAGGGCCCTTCTGGCGTCCTGTGCCTACTTCTCAGTGTTTCCCTGGTTTCTGGAATTCCTCTCACATTTGAATTCCTGTAGCTGTAATAAATGTTTAACTTATTTGGCATTTGTTTACATATTTTCCCTTATCTTATTTCCTGTGCATGTAATAGGCTCCTGAAAACACACTTAAGACTTAGGTGTAGGAAAGTTTTATAACTTGAGTTAAAAGATTCCATTCCAAGGAAGCTCATATTAATAACACAGCAGAAAATCCAAAATTATACTTTGCCTTTTAGACAAATTTCACACGTTTCGTACACATTCTTTCATATGTGTGTGAGCTGTTTTTTTAAATTTGTATTTGCCTCTAGTGTACTGTTTGGGGGACTTAATTTCCTTTCATCGGAATCAGCCCTTTAATTTTTATCTTCCCCAGCCAATGTTATAAAATAATAAAGCCCCGCTATAGTTAATTATTCAGAAAATGTTGCCAATACTAGACTACTTAGGATAGGGCGACAGTGCCAATGTTGACATTACGATGGTATAGTTCAAAATGTTCATTCATTAGCTTGCAAGTGAGATGCCAAAATTTGGCCCAAGAAACCTAGTTTAGGAATACAGATGTCTAGTATGAAAAACGAAAGGATTTCAAAAATTCAAAGGGAAGAAAGTTCAGGACTTGAGGTTTATGTATTTATGTTCTTCTCTCATATTTGGGACCCCAAATATATTCCCTTTTGTATCTTCACCCAGTGGGTTTTCAATAAAATTGTTGAGGTATTGATGACAACACTGTTATATTAAGCCTCACAGCCCTCGATCCAAAGAGCAACAAGACCTACCTTTCAACTTTGCTAATTCAGATGTTCAACAGGTATTTATTGAGCACTTTCAAATGCCAGATATTGTTTGGTGGATTAAATAAGATAATGCCTCAGTATTTCTTCTGGGAGAGGAATCAGCACAGAACTGTCCATATAGGCAACTTCCAATGCGGTAAATACTACATACTCTCAGCAGTGGTGAATTCGTGATATTCTGATCATGGTGGTCATGGCAACAGTTGACAAGTCTTGTGGAATTCTGAAATCAAGCTTTTCTGTGGTTTTCCTATTTTTCTTTTCATTTTTATTTACTTTTCCTGAATATGCATGACCTTATGAATAAGTATATGATCCCCTGTTTACCTCTTTTTCCAGAATGGAGTCTACTGAAAAATGTGAAGTGGTCATTCAACATTTTAATGGAAAATATCTGAAAACACCACCAGGCATCCCAGGTAAGAAATGCCATTAAGTAATCATTCAGTTATATCTAGGTTTGTTGCTATTGTTTAAATGAGTACATGGTAAAGGCCTCGGTTGGTCACTGGGAACAAAAATGTTGCTTTTGTAATTGTGTCTTTTTAAATAATATGTAGCAACTCATCTTTCTCAAAATAACCAAAATCTTCTTGATGATTCTTTGGCCTTTCTTTTGACTCTCTGCTACTGATTGCCTGAAGTGAATTGGAAGAGAAATAGCAAAGAATAGTTTAAAATTCATTTCAAGTGAAGGAATTCATGACTCCTGTCATTAACGTTGGTATCTTGATTTCCATTTATTTATTTATTTTTTTAATAAATTTCTTTTTTTTTAATTTTATTTATTTATGAGAGAGCGAGAGAGAGAGAGAGAGACAGAGTGAGAGAGCAGGAGAGGAGAGGTCAGAGGGAGAAGCAGACTCCCCATGGAGCTGGGAGCCTGATGTGGGACTCCATCCCAGGACTCCAGGATCATGACCTGAGCTGAAGGCAGTTGCTTAACCAACTGAGTCACCCAGGTGCCCCTTGATTTCTCTAAACAGTGATAGTCACAGTGAAATACACTGATTGATGCAAGTTTCCAAACATTTCTTACCAGTCCATCACAAGAAGAGTACAGAGAGTGAGAAGAAGCTTTTAGAATTTTTTTTCTGCATTTAGAAACTTTTGTAGCAATTTTATGTTACCATGAAATCTGAATGCATAATTTTATATATTTTTTAAAAATATCAGTACCTGACATATTGATTTTTTCTTTTCTTTCTTTTTTTTTTTTTTTTTTTGTAAACTGTCTACTCATTAGAAACAGTTTGAGAAGCACCAATCTTGACTCTCCGAGGACATTTCACATTTCCCAAGGCAAAATCCTTAAGCTTTTATACACATCATAAGATGATATAACTTTCTACTATTAAAAATTACATTCAACATAAAGAATTGAATATATCACATGTGTATGGACTTAAGCTGTAATGCCTCAACTTGCTATTAATCTGGTAGTAGTATATATGGCAAGGGTTTAATATTAAGTGAGTAGATTTAAAAATATATCTTACTCATGAATAAAAATATCTGAGATTGAATGGAGTGCTAAAAAGGAAGAATTATAATGAGTGGATAAAGAAATGTCTGACTAATCCATCTTGGTTTATTGGTTGCTCTTTCATTTTCAGTGACTCTCAGGGGAAAAAAGTGACTTCTTCAGTCTTATATTTTCCTTTTGATTCTTTAAAGCTGGACTTCCATTGTGTTTGCTATGCAATGTGTCTGCTATTTAAAACACATGGTTAGAGAGTTCAGGGGCTGGATATTTCAGTTCCTTAAAATGTATTGAGGCTATATAGAAGAGGAAATCTGAACAAAAAGAGAAATATTAATGTAGAGGTGTCAGGGTCCTTTTAGGACTCAGTTCATCTGGGGAGGGTGTTGGGAAAGGAGAAAGGCCCTTCAGACGCTCACTTAGATGATCTGGAAAATCCAAAGTAGCATCTCCTGGTTAATCAGAGAGCACACAGACATTGACGCCTGTGCCTCAATTTGGTTAGCTTCCATACGCAACGTTCCCTTGAGAACTGACTGCATTATGATCCAATTGGAGACATATGGTGTTGTTAAGAAGAGTTAGCAGTTTTCATCTCAGCATGTAAGCTGCCCTTGAATTTTAGGAGAAATACTTATTTTTTTTTTTTCTTTTAGCATAAAAGACACTTTAAGACACTCTGCTCAGACCTATCATTGAATAAAGGGGTTGAATTGTTAGAGGATTCTCCCCTTATTTATCCCATTTTATCCAGTGGATGCCTTCTATATAGAAGGCATCCAAACTGGGTGTGAATTAGATGGTTATATATAAAAAAATTAAGAATGAACAAATTATGTAGAAATTATTGTTGATTCAAGTTAAAATACCTCTCAGGGTTTTTTTTTTTTAGGTTTCTTCATTTTCATAAAAAGACATTGAAATCCTTCTGGACTTGATTTGAAACTGTACTATTTGGTTTTCCCCCACAGAACATAGCTGACTAATACAATTTAATGCTAAAGACAAAGAAAGTCCCTATAAATCCCCAAATGTCTGGGCATTCTTCCTGAAAACACAGGCTGTGATATCAACCTGTCTAATATCATAGCTACACCCAATGGAAACATTGTGAATAGCAAGAACCTGGTTATGAGTTTTTCACTCACTTTTATCTCATGGGAACACAAGAGGCAAAATAATTATGCCCAGTTATAAAACTCTTAAGAGATACAAGTTTATGCTTCTGAGCTTTGCACTCAATGTAGTAAAATTAAATACACAATATTGATCATCATTATTACTTGAATTTGCTTATTTATGCAGTGGAAGTCAAACAGTTTAGTAAAAGTTTCAAATGTTAACAGAAAGTATTTAATCTTTAATATTGAATTTTGATACAGAATAAAACAGGCTATAATGCAAAATGTGGGTATTTTGGTTAAGTCCAGTAGTAAAATGCCCTCATTAGGCTGATTCACAAAATCAGAATGGGTATGATCAAATATGAGTGTATGTTGTTTGCCCTTATTGGTCCTCTCTGCTTATTTACTGTAGTTGATTGAAATGTTTCAAATACTCATTTCTTAATCCAATTTTCTACTCCAAGTTGAAGATTGCAAGTGGGATATCACTATAGGTCCTAATAGCAAATTGGAAGTGATTCCTTTGATATTTTCAAAAGAAATGACCAGCTTCTTAACTTTTTCAATCCTAATGTAGCTTTAGAAATATATATCCTTGCTTGTGGGTATACTAATTAAAACCACAATAATTGATCTGAGCCCCCTACAATTAAAATAGAATTCAAAAAATTATAAAAATTTCAGTGTTCTATATTATCATGATTCAGCATCTTTGAATTCAGAAGTTTGCAATTTTTTGGAAATCACATTGATTGTTTCAATATAATGTTTTAAGGTCATGCATTTGATGGCCTCACAATGATCCAATAATGACCAGAGAGTCTCAAGCTGTAAGCTTTAGAAAAGATTGCATGTTAAGTCAATCATCTTCTTACACTAGACCCTGCTTTTATCTTACTCTAAGCAAGTAGGGGACAATTGGTATCAAATTTGCATTCTTTATTTCTCCATTTAGGGATGACTTGGGGGAAATGTGCACATGTCACTGGGCAAATACAGTGCCATTTTGGTTTCTGTCACTTTTGACAAATGATTTCTCTTAAAGGAGATGCAAAGATAATTATTTCCCTGAGATGATCATCTAGTTCCCAAATCCCCTACCATGTCATCTCTATACAAGAATTAGAAAAAGATCTAATTCAACCCAAAACTTTGGCATTGCTTTGAATTTCAAATTCAAAATACATTATAGTTAAGGATATTTACAAGGATGTGTAACATTGACCACATTTAAGTTGTTGCTTCCATTCCAATTTGTTAGCCTAGCAACAATTTATTCATTAAAAAAGATTCAGGGTGGTATTTAATCTTGATTCCTGCTGACAGATGATGTGAGTTGGAAGGAAACTTTGTAGATATCTTCTTTTGGTTCATGCTTTCTTGGGCTCCTCCTTTTTGTTCATATAAAAGATCTAATTTTAAGAATATATCATGGATTGTTAATGTGTATTAGAGCCTCCAGAACTAGTTCTTTTCACTTTGGGTTGTAACACTGTCCCCAGATTTTGGTTACCTGGATCAATGAAGCTCAAATATACATGCCAAAAAAATAAAGTTATTTGAATTCTGGTATATATGATATAGGATCGGGCAGCTATGTTTCTACTAGCAGGTGGGAAGGAGAGGCCAGCGTCAATCATGTAGCCATCTGCAGAAAGCCATCATCTAGTATTTTCTCCCTCTCTTAGAGGGAAAAGAAAACACAGTGTTCCATAAATGTTGCATGTCCTACATATCGATCTTGATGTTTTCTGGACAAAATGAAGGATCATTAGTTGCTTGCCTGCCTAACCCCAGACATTTCATTGTCCCATATTGAATTGCACAGCAATGTTGTACAGCCCCAAAGCATTTCATTTTCAAACCTCTGGCAGAAGCAAAGGGTAAGTTCCCAGACACTTCAGGGATCTGTAGGGCATGAACTTGAAAGGTTCACTTCCAAAGAGCCCCCGGAGCAGAGCGATGTACCGTGTAGAAAAGGCTTCCATGTATAAGGACGTGTATTGATGAATGGATCGTGCAGGCTAGTTTGTAGAAAAATAAATCACATTTTGCTCCAAACTAGACTTCTGCCTGTAAACACATTTTCCTATCAATGGAGCAGTCTTTCCAGAATAAAATGGAATAACCCACTTGTAGTATGATTTTCTTTCTCTTGAGGTAATTATATCTAATCCCAGTTGAACTTCAAAAAAGTAGGGAAGTGTAGGGAAAGAGCTCACCAAATTTTTTTTTAATTTTATTTATTTATTTGACAGACAGAGATCACAAGTAGGCAGAGAGGCAGGCAGAGAGAGAGAGGGGAGGAAGCAGGCTCCCTGCGGAGCAGAGAGCCCGACGCGGGGCTCCATCCCAGGACCCTGGGATCATGACCTGAGCCGAAGGCAGCGGCTTTAACCCACTGAGCCACCCAGGCGCCCCGAGCTCACCAAATTTTGAGATGTTTTTAATTTTAACAAATCTGTGATCAACAGCAATTTAGACAACTAAGTGAGTGATAGAGGAATCATATTTTTCTAACAGATAGAATAAAATTTTGTGCCTTGTTGATGCTTTGACATATAATCTTTCTATAGTGTGTTTATGTAAATAAAAATGTGTATGATTGTGGGATATATATTATATTTTGTGGGAGTATGCAAGGAAAAATATTTAAAGTCTGGTAATTCTTTAAAGAACATGAAAAGAAATGTTGTTTACATTCGAACTTTTCCCAGAGTAAAAGATCAGCAAAGTACTTAAATGACATTTATATTCAATTAAAGACATGGTACAAAATTCTGAATGTTTGGCAATAGTATACAAATTCTTA